CTTTGGCACTGCACCCCTAGTACAGGTCTCTAGATGAGGATGGTGACCCATAGAAGCAAGTAACCACTAGAACAGGGGTAGGCAATGTTTTTTGGCCCGAGTGCTGAAAAAACCACAATGTCTACCTCGGAAGGTGCCGGAGTGCCAACATGTCAGCAAAAAAAAAAAAAGTGGTTGGGGGGGGGGAGGCAGGATGCGCTGCATATTAGTATATTTAATAATCATAAATGTTGCCTTTGTTGTTGTGTATTCCTTTTTTGTTGAGCATGTTGCAATGAGAGAGGAAAAAAGAGATAAATAAGAGAAAGAGGAGAGAGAGAGAGAAAGAGGAAAAAGGAGAGCAGAGAGAGAACCGGACACACGCACACACAGAACCACATGCACAAAGACAGAGAACCAGAACACACCCAAAACAGCCACATGCACACACACTCCAGAACCAGACACATGTGTAGGCACACAGAATCAGACAGAGGAGGACAAACACAAAGAACCAGATGCGCAGGCGCACGGATCCGGGCTCCTGGGCCACCGGACAAAGTCTGACCCAACAATGTCCTGGTCCTGCCAGAGCATCTGTGCTTCCCTGGGGAGCCAGCCCCCGAACTGCAACACAGCTGGCCGAGGCCCCAGCCTGGAGCCTGCCCATCAGCCCAACCACCCACCCATCCCACACAGCTAAGCCCACAAAAGGTGCAGTGCTCCTGGCAAGGGGCAGCGCCAGCCTCATCCTGGTGGCGGGGCTGGGCTTAGAGCAGGTGGGAGTCAGGTGGGCTCAGCTGCAAGCCCTGCTGCAAGCAGCCTGGACTCTGTGGTTGGCAGCAGCTACCAGAGCCTGGGCCGGCTGCAGCCAGGAGGCTGCAAACAGCTGCTCCGGCATCAGCTCCATACCAGCGGGTGCACGTGTGTCTCGGAGCAGATGGTGGGGATAGGGCCTGAGGCAGCACAGCCCTCCCGCTGTCTGCTCTGAGGTGTACGTGCAGTCGTCTCCAGCAGGGAGCTGATGCCGGGGCTGTGGAGCCCCGCCCAGCTGTTTGCCGCCCGCCGACTGCTTGCTGCAGCTGCCCAGAGCTCAGTCTGGCAACAAACACTGCGCTGGGCTCTGGAGCCCCGCCATTAGCTCTGTGCCAGCAGCGGCAGAGAGGCCGGGGGTGCGCTGCCTCAGGCCCCTCCCCCAATGTCCGCCCCAAGACATGGGTGCACCCGCCGGTATGGAGCTAATGTCGGAGCAGATGTTTGCAGCCTCCTGGCTCCAACCGGCCCAGCCTTTGGGCAGCTGCTGCCAACCATGGAACCTGGTCTGCTTACAGCGGGGCTTGCAGCCGCCCAGCCACCTGCTAGGAGCAGCCCAGGCTTCGTGGCTGGCAGCAGTTGCCTAGAGCCCAGGCCGACGGTGGCATGCCAAGCAAAATGGCCTCATGTGCTGTGCTCGGCACATGTGCCAGGGGTTGCTGACCCCTGCACTAGAACAAGGTTAAAGAAGACATTGACCAGTAGGAGAAAGAGTTTAGCAAAGCTCATGCTGCACAAAAGATCAATAGACACACAAGAAAGGAAATTAAGAAAATCAGCTAACCCAAAAGAGAGGAAAAGATAATAACAATAACTGGGGACTGAAGTGTGAGGAAGAACAAGTGTTACCTTCAAAAGATTGAGAAAGAATGGAGGATAAGAAGAGCTGACAAACTGCAGACAGAAGGAAAGATAATAAGACTGGAGATTCAATACTAACCCCACTATAAAGGAAGACTCCAGAGAGCAAGAAAAATGATTAACGATCTGGGAAGCATGGTTTATGAAGAAAAAATGAAAGAACTAGGGTTATTTAGGTTGGAGAAGAGAAGACTGAGCAGGGATTTGATAAGTTTTCAAATACATGAAGACTGATTATAAAGAGGATGGAGAGACAGGATAATCCTGTGTAGAAGACAGGACTAGGCATAATGATCTCAAACTGCAGTAGAGGAAATTTAGGTTGGAGATTAGGAAGAACTTTCCATTCAAGCATTTGAACAGGATGCCTAGAGAAATTATGGAATCTCCATCCTTAGAAATCTTCACAAGTAGGCTGGAGAGACTTGGCTGGGATGATTACAGCTGATCCCATCTTGAATTGAGGACTGGGCTAGTTGACCTCATGAGATCCCTACCAACCCTACTTTCTTATGATCCTATGAAGTTCAACTGTGAAAGCTGTAATGTTAGAAAATATCAGTAATGGTATTTCCAGTGGAGACAAGATGCTGGTGATTTTCCTTCTATAATACTGTGTACAGTTCTGATCACCCATGTTCACAAAAGATGAATTTCACCTGAAACACATATGGGGAAAGACTAGCAAAATGCACAGGGAAACAGGAAGCCTACCATACCACAGAAGACTAAAAGGGGTCAGGCTTGTTTAATCTAGCAAAGTGAAAGCTAAATGGATACAGTTGATCCACATACCACAGTGTTTCCCGACCAGTGTGACATGGCACAAAAGTGTGCTGTCAGAAATGAACAGGTATGCCACAGAACTTTGCCATGGCAATAAGCTACAATAGGTATGAAGATGGGGAATGCCTTAACAGGTGTGCTGCGGAAAATTTTTATTAATGTAAGTGTGCCTTTGGTTGGAAAAGGTTGGGAAACACTGACATATCTCACACATGCAAGCACCAAGGAAAACAATCCTTTCCAGCTTCTAGAACTACTTTGGCAAAGATGCGTGTCCAAGCCATGATTGCATAATCCTGAAATATGGTGATCAGACAGCAAGATTGGAAGATAAAGAGATGAGGGGGAAAGGTACTTGGCAAAAGAGTACATTTCTGCTGGCTAACCACAAAGACTGCACAGCTTTGCAGTAGAGCCTTGCTCCTCAGTTTCTTATATCTGAGATCTTTGATCCATTGTAGAACAGCCAGTTTTCTAGTGGTTAGCACAATCTCTCTCTGTTGGTTCTGTTCCAATTTTTATAAAGAAGCCAAGGATACTGACTTTGCAGCCCAGTATTAAGGATACTCGGCTTAAGATACCCCGCTTAAATGTGGGAGCCTGAGGTCAAGTCACTTCTCCACTAAAGATACATGTTGAAATTTATATTCTTTAAAAAAAAGGATCAAAGGATTTGAGAAAATAGGTCCATAAATAAATGTATGAGCAGCTTTGAAATTCAAACTGAAAGATACTTCTAAGGATCTAATTTTAGTGAAGACTAGAACTGTCAGAGAACTGTCAGGAGGACAGTTTAAAACTTAAAGTGAGATTGAAGTAATATAATATGCATACATACACCTATGGACACATAGCCCATTAAGATATGATTATTTGCATTTCACTGTGATAAGGACATGTCCTACACGTATAAAGTAAGCTCTAGCTTTTAATAGCTATAAAGAATTTTAGGTCAATTTCCCTTTTCTGCATTTCAAGTAAGGATAAGACGCAGTTAAACATTAATAAATATTCCATATACTGTATCGTCTAGTAAAAAAAATCAAGTGCTGATTATGGACACAAATTTACTTGTGTTGTCAAAATAAATAATAAAAAAGCCAACACATTTCTTTCAAATTACTATATTCACCGTGGAATCTTCAAACACTAAACATATGCCATGTCAAATTAGTATATTTGCTGTCCAAGAATTATGTATCTTTTGCCTAGCACCAGTTCTTGAATTTAGCTTTGACCTATATTTGATTTAATTTGACACAGAACAAGGATTTAATTGCATTAGATTCCATTAAGTGAAAGGGAAAAATTCCTTAATTTTGTGAAAACTTTTGTACAGGCTGTATGTTTCTTGCAGGCATTTTAGGACTAAATAAAAAGAATCAGAGGCAAACAGGTATTCAAAGAAAGGAATAATAATAAAGTGATTTCCATCTACAAATATAACCTAATGAAATTGAGGGATGCTGTAATAATAAGGCAAAAATGTCTATCAATCCTCAAAATCATGACCAATAAATACAACAAAACTTCAAATGGTAACGGCATAAAATAGCAATGTGCTACATTATCATTTTGCTAATTTAATTAGTATCTGCTTTCCTTGTAACATAAGCTGACAAAATACATGTATTATACTTTTGAAACAGTTTAATAGACATAATTCTCAATCTATGTAAAAGACAACCAGGAAGCATCTAGATAACTGATTTTTTCATGTCATTAACCAAATTATTTCCAAATAATGTCCATTTCAATAATGAGTAATGGTTGAAAACACATACATTCATTGCATTTAATATAAATTGCAGTAAAAATAAATCTTAATATGGTAAAAGTTTAATACTTTAAGTTGGAGTAAACAGGTACATATAATTATAAAAGGAAAGGCCTTAATATTTAAGAAATGTGTCTCTGCAGTTCATTGAATCATTTTAGAAACAAGTGCTCGCCCAAACCTAAATATGTAGTTTTTGCCATAGTGGGGAAGAGGACCAAAAAAACCCCAAAAAACAAAAAAACAAGATCAACAATAACAGGGGGGAAGGAAAGAGAGAGATTAATACTTCCTAAACTATTTATTTTAATTAAAAACAAAATAATTTTCCAGAAATTTATGGTGGTTTGGTACAGATGCAGTATTGGATGACAAGATTTTTCTTTTTATACATCAATTTTAACACATCAATTACAGCATATCAGGTTTATAAACAAGATGTTCTTTTTGAAAGCATACAACATTTCTTTGACCAAAAATCATTACAAAGGTTGTATCTACAGGTATTTTCAGCCAAGAGCATTTCTAAGTAGTTGATACAATTAACATGTGATCAGGAACAAAGACACCCTTTAATGTGTTTTATATTCTCAGTTGTAGAAGCTTGAAACAAGAATTAACAAAATGCAGACCTAAACATTTGAGGAATGCCCCCCAAAACATCTTTTAATCATAGGTACAAGCTAAATTAATTATGCCATAGTGTTCTATCCTTTCAAATTGGTACATGGCATAAGATGTACAGCACACCAAACAAGTTCAGAAGAAAAAACTCAATATTTTTATTTGCCAATTCTTTGGACCACCCAGTCCTGTTGACAGAGGGGACAGCGATTGTTCTGTTTAACCCACAGAGACATACAGCAATTGTGGAAGGAATGATTACATTCTCCCCAGACAACTGAAAGAAAAGAAACAAACACTTAATATGTTCCAGTTACAATATTTAACACGGATGTCCAAATTTTATTCCAATAAAGGATCCTAACTATCTATCTAACTCATTCAGATTTTGACAGCTCATATAAATATATGAGTACGCAGGGGTTCTGATAGAATTACATTAGTTTTACTATTTTGATAGCACTTCCCACAGACAGAATACTGTGCTTCTACAGAAACTGTCTTGCTCATCAACTTTTAAAAATATGTGTAACAAAGTACTTGTAATTTAAAAAGAAACTCACATAATTTCATCTTCTAACAGACCTGTAAAATGCCTGCATATTTTTGTGCTCTATATAGTAATAATCTGAACAGTCTGGAGTTGTAAGTGAGACTGTGACTGGTAAGAAAGCTTCCAAAGTTCTCTCTTCTTCTTATTTTCCTCCCCTATTAATAAATATAACTAGCGTAATGTTGATTCACTATCATGTACCAAAGGTGTAAGGGCATGTTATTAAATTCTATTTAATGCTTTATTTGAATGTTAATTCTTAAAGTTATGATATATTCTAAAGAGAATAAGCCATACAAGATACTAATATATAAGCTTTACAATGGGTCAAAAATCATTCACAGGATATAATCATCACAACAAAAAAACCTGGAAAACAGACAAACTTTCTACCTAGTTCTGCATTATACTAGCTTCTTTTTGTCCTGCTTCCATTATGCAGGAATGGTAGATATGGGCACAATGCAAATGACTGTTGTACACTCTATTTTTTTTAAATGATCTGTCCTGAGTGGAAGACATAAGACAAGCAGGGATTTTTTTAAAGTATTAAACTGATGAACTAAAACTGCACGAACATCATGTTGTTTCAGTAGTATTCTCTCCACATGAATGACCAAAACTGTGGAAGGCTTATAATTAAAATTAAATTAATAGAATACTGGACAAGATGCTATTATTTATGACACATGATATTATTTATGACACCTCAAAGTTGAAACTATTTGAATACTGAACAGTTAATATTTCCATTTGTGTTTTGGTAGGTTAACCCATACAATAAAAACTGCTTTACATCTACACGTCATATAACAAAATTTAACATGATGCTTAACTTATGACTTTCCCAATGGACAAGGATATTAACAATGAAATAAGGTGGTTTCAATAAGGTGGTTCAATTGAATTTTCTGGCGCACACGTCAAAAGAAGAGGTAGTAGTTATTTCCTATACACAGCAAAGTCTATATTGCTGTGTCTTGAATAAACTAATTCTCCTTGGGAATGTACAGACTGATAAATAACTAGATGCAGATTTGCTCTGTCTAGTAGGCTTTTACAACAGTGTCTTTTACATTAACAATGTATCAAAGTTTTATAGTATATTTTTAAGAATTAATAAAATTAGCATTAGCTTAAATCTTAAAAAAGTACCCCACTGAGAGCAAGCCTTTAGTTGAAAAACAAGAGAATGAAATCACTACATACCAACACAATCTTCTTGTTTGTTTTCAGCTTGACATCTAAGACAGGCATCTAAAAGTAAACAAAAACAAAACACAATTTGAAGCTCAGGATACAATTCTAAAAAGGTTTTTCGAAGTCAAATAGAAAATCTGGCACACATTTATATTGGCAGAACTTGAGTTTCTACCCATCTTGTTCATCAGTATTTGACATTAGATAAAAAGGAAAATTAAAATACAAAGTCGTATGTAAAACTATATATACACACAGTATATATCTATATCTATCTATCTATATCTATATATATCCCCCCCACCCCATGGGAGAAAAAAAAGAACTGGTAACTGCTTGATAAACTTTTCTCACCCTCCATTTTGTTGAGGCATTTTCATAACTTATGCTAAAACATCTCCTTTTGGTGGATGTGACTACTGGGGCTTGTGGCAAATGCATTCAAGAATAAGCAAAAATTAAGTAAAGCCAGAGCAGAAATATGTAACCCATGACTTCCAGAACTGGTTTAAGGAAGTAATTCACAATTCAGTTGTTTTTCAACCTGCTAGAACCCCAGCAGTGTTGTTTACACAGCAATGTTACATGATGACAACAAGTATATAATTTCCCCTCTAGCCAAATGCACATACAAGCCTGTTTTTAAAGGATACATTAGTTTCCCCTGTAAGTGAAGAGACCAATAAGGACAAAACACCTTTTTTTTTTTCAAAGTTGGGTCGGTTTTTATAGCCGATACAAAATCAGCAGACTGTGTGAAAGATCAGGCTTCTTTCCCCTTTGGTTACTGCTGCTTCACACATAATGGAAGCCCTTATTGCAGGGGCAGGCAATTATTTCAGGCAGAAGGCCATTTACCAAGTTGTGGCAAGCTGTCAAGGGCCACATGGGTAGCCCCGCCCCTTGACAGGTGCCCCGCCCCCTGGTCACCATTTTGGGACCAATGCCCCAGGGCAGGGCGCAGGCTGCCAGGGGTCTGTGGAGCCGGGCTTGGCTGCACCAGCAGGGAGAGCGGGGAGCTGGCCCGGCTCCACAGAGCCCCTGCCAGCCGGAACCCTGTACTCCTGCCACCCTGCTCTGGGCCCTGCTGGCACTGGCCCTGGAACACAGGTGTGGGCCCTGCTTCCGCACCCGCTCACTCCAAGTGCCCCCCAGCCCCGCAGTACAGGCACGGGGGTAGCGCACAGCCCCAACCCCTTGCTCGCTGGCAGGGAAGGAGCTGGTGCTGAGCACGGGGGAAAGACGGCCCCTCACCTGCCCCGTGGGCAGCACTCCTTGCTGCTGCTGCTCGCAGCCCGTGCGGGGCTGTCCTGAGCAGGCACAGGCAGCCCCAGGCAAGCTGTGAGCCACTGCAGCACGGGGCACCAGCCATGGTCCATCTGGCCTGCGCGCTGTATTTTACCCGCCCCTGCCTTACTGCTACTTCTAGTTCATATTCCCTTGCCCAGTCCTCACTTCATCAACCAGTGAAGAAGAAAGAGAATGGAAGCTCAGTAGTGGCTATTCCTCAAGCAAGGCGGGGGTAGGGGGAAGATGGGAAGGGAAGGAAAACAGCTGAATAGATAGCCAGAACTAAGGAAAGGCACTTTGTCCCTGAAGTCGTATTGAGTGCAATGAGTAATACTAAATGAGCACTGCTGTAGTGACTGCATTGACTACTTTTGTTCAGGAGTATCCATCCTCAACATACAGGGTTCTGACTGTCCATCTTCAACATCATCAACTCTATCTACAGTTTCAGAGTTATCTGCTAATGATACCACTGTTCCAGTCAAACGTATCACATAGTATATCACCTGTAGCAAAAAGAAAAAAAAAATCTCCATCATCCTGAAACAATAGATAAGTTTGTAATAAGAACCAGCAGATCACAGCAGGAGGTAACTGAAAAAATTGCTCTGTTTATGCAACAAACTCTCCTTTCCATATTGTTGAGAACACACACTTCATTGACATGGTTCAGTCATTACAACCAGGATACAGTCCACCCAACAGAACAGATATAGCAGGCAAATTGCTGGATGAAGTATATGAGAAAGAAATTGAACAGCGTGCAAAAAATCTAGAGGGGAAAATTGTTAATCTGAGTCTTGATGGGTGGGGACCAATGTCCACAATGATCCAGTAATGTGCTTGCGTGACAATAGAAGAAGGAACTGTCTACCTTTCAGAAAAAATTGATATATCAGGAAATGCACACACAGCAGATTACTTACAAGAAGTAGCAGTAAAAGCTATAACAAACTATGAAAAAAATTCAAAAGTCTAGTATGCTGCTTTGTCACAGACAATGCTGTAATGTGCCAAAGATGAGAAGAAAGCTAGAAGAAAGTGAAGAAAGCCCCAAGCTCATATGGCTGCACAGCTCATTTGATGCACCTCTTAGCCAAAGACTTCAGTGCTCCATAAGTAAAGGCTAATGTTGAAATTGCAAATACTTCCACTAACAACCACTATGCAGCAGCTGCTCTGAAGAAAATAGGAGGGACCGAACAAACTCTCCCACAAGACCTGTGATGGAACGCAGCAGTGGACTGTTTTGAGCGATATATTGAGAACGGGCCTAATCTGATGACAATTTGTAAGCAAAATCGTGACAAAATAGATGGAACTGTCATAGCCAGAGTTCTGTATTCTTTAGCCCATTGTTGAGAACGTATGCTGACTATCTTGAAGCCTATTTCCGTAGCTTTGAACAAAGCACAGGGAAATAGCTGTTTTATTGCTGATGCTGTTGCAATTTGGACAGAACTGAGTGAGAACTTGAAAAAAGACATACTGTACACAATAATAGAGTTAAATTACAGGCATTAAAAAAAGAATGGATCAGGCACTATCTCCAGCTCATTTTCTTGTCAATATTCTCAACACACAGTACCAGGGTCAATCCTTAACTGCTCAAGCAGAGGAGTTGGCTATAACATGGGCATCCAGCAATCATAATACCAACTATAATAAATTTCAGGGCTAAGGGTGAACCATTTAAAAACATATATTTGCTGATGAGATTTTAAAAGAAAGTCACACCAGTAAACTGGTGGAAGTCACTTAAGCACCTGGATCCATCAGAGACTATTGAAGTGATAATCCACAACAGAAAAAGCATGAGAGGTTGTCTCTCTTTTCCAGACTATGAATGAACAGGAAAAGGAAGGTGAAGACTGAGTTTGCTGCATAACCTAGCATTTTTTCTCAGGTTGACCTGGCTGAAATAATCTATTTAATTTTTGTTGAAAACACATTTCACATTTATAACTAAAACAGTTAAAAATTCAAAAGTACATATGCTTGTTTTGTTAAAAGTTATGTGTGTTTGTTGCTTAAGAAAAATATCCAAAATACAAGCTTGTTGTTTCAGTTAAATAAAACAATTTAAATGTCTGTTGTTTTTGATGATGGTTCTTGTTGTCCTCCCAATACAGTGTCGCAAAACAAACCCCCAAATATCCATCCCAAATCTAGTGAATTGGAGATAGTTCACCTCCCAATGACTTCACAAGTATCTGCTTGAATTAGCTTTGGTAAATAAAATCATAATTCAGACTTCTGATGTAGATGCAAAATTAATCTGAAAAAATATTAAAAAAATCACTGCTTTGAATGTATAGTGTATACCTTCTAAAAATGAAATCTACATCTATCTCTGAGTTGTGAATAATAAGTATTAAGGTCATATCAAACAACAAGAATGCACTTTTTGTAGAAAACAATGATTAAATCGAGGCTTCCTGACCAGCGATTTAAATCGTTATTTAAATCAATCAGTTTTAAATCAAATCCACCCTGATCAAAATCACTCTAAAATTGGTTTTTAAACCAACAAAAAACCCTGACACAGACGAACGCACAGAACAGATTTCTGTATCTAACTCCATGTAATTTTTTTCCCCTTTGTCAAACCAGGAAATGGACAGATTTGTATCTCTTAATTTAAACCTGTACTTTAATTGGCATGAGTAGAAATTGTCTGTATTGCTCTTGCACTATTGTTACCACTTTATAATCCAGGTTAAATACTGCCTAACACTGGATATGACTAAAATCTTTATTTTTTAAACCAACGTTATCCTACTGAAGCTTGGTCAAGGATCTCAATCTCAGCTTTATCTATTATGCATCTAAAATTGTGTGTCAAGTGTTGTCAATGCTAAAGCTCCTTACATAAGGTCAACGTAAAAAAAAATGATAAGAATAATTGGGGGTTTTCACATGTGCTCCGGGGGTGGGAGGGTTAAACAGAATGGCTCCAAGCACCACTTTAATTAAAGCACCCGCAGTGTCTACTATATTCAGCATCCCATGCTTCAAAATGGTGGCAGGGGCACTTTAACTAAAGCTCATTCGATGAGCCTTAGTTAAAGCAACGCCACCACCACTTTGAAGCATGGGGATGCTGAATACATGAGCTGTAGAGGCTGTTAAATAATGCTAATTAGCTCAGAGACATAATTACAGCACATCAGAGCAGTGTCCCCACACATCTACAGGCACCCACTGTGATAATGTTATTCTGGGCTACTGCCTTTTCCTCTTTAGGGTGCTCTAAAATCCTCCCAGCTCAAAAGAACATTTTCCATACAGATAACTCTATGAGAAATGGCTGGGTTGGTGGGCACATCCCCTTCTGCAATGCTGGAGAAAAACTGGACTCTGTCACCATTACAAGCATGAAGGGCTCCTAGAAGAAGTATGGGTAATCTGTATAGCCAAACAATGGCAGGCTGATGAAGGAATTATAGATTTGTCTATAATCTCTTAATGCTCTTGAAGATAACAGGTTATTTTATAATAACAGAATGGAGGAAGCAATGAAGGAATTTAAGGATCCAATACAAATCTGCCTTATTTGGTATGTTTTCTGTCAAACTTGACCTGATGAAGAATGTCTTGCATTTGAAAATGTGTCTAACTTTATTCCAACCATGCAGTTGGAATAAAAGATATCAATAAAATATATCACCCCCCTAAAAAAGATGTCACTCCCCAAAAATCCTTGCTTCTCCAATACCTGGACCATCATGGCTACACCACTCTAGCACTACAAAAAATGTGACTAGTCATCACTTCAAAAGCTACAATTAATATTAGGGGTACACCAATAAAGATTTTCTTGGCCAATACCAATAGTCAATAATTAACCAACCATATTGGCTGATGCCGATCAAATAACTGATATTTAGTAATAGTGCAAGGCATTTTAAACTACTGACATAAATAAACCTTATTTTGTTTGTTTTGCATTTAAACACGCACATACACACAAACACACACGCCTCCTGCCTGCCCCAGCCCTCTATAAGGAAGGCAGTGACTGCCTTACTCCCAAGCATGTTGCACTCTGCGTCGTGCTCTGTCCTGGGGCAGACCCTTGTGCAGACAGCAGCGCCAGGTGTGTTTGGAGCCGCAGAGCACGCCAGTGGGCCCTGCGCAGCCAAGCTCCTGGGGCTGCCAAAGAAAAGCTGCTTTTGCAAAGGCACCTGGTGCCCAGTGGAGCAGAATGGCCCTTGCATGGCATATTACTCTGCCCAAGCTCAGCCCAACATCTCCATGGCAGCTCTGGTACTCAGGCTCCTGCTGCATGTGCAGCATTGCCATGGCAGCAGCAGCAAGAACCAGTAACAGGCCCTTTGTTGCTTAGCTTGGTGCCCTGTGACTGCTCCCAGGCGCCCTCTCTCCCTCTCGCTGCTTGCCAGGACCTGTAGTCTGCTGTGGGCTCGGGCCAGCAGCAGGGCATGGGGACTGGACTACATGCTGTGGGCCTGAGGCCGTAATTATAAACTACAACAACCCAAAAAAAAGATGATAACTAGTAATGTAATTTCTCCTTTTATTGGTGCTGATCCCATAGACAACCAGTATATTGGTGCACCCCTAATTAATCTTTAAAAAAAGTCAATTTCCACATTATGGGATAATGGGGTAACATTACTCTTAAATGCGCTTCACATATGGAAAACTTTAATAGCAACTTGGGTGCATGTATGTGAATTTAATACTTTGAAGGGTTTGGGATTGATAGCCCTTGAAAAAGAAGCATATACACCACTGGTCTCCAACCCTTTTAGGTCAGAGATCACTTTTGGAACTTAAAAGGAATGAAAGAACCCCTCCCACCCAGCAGATAAGTCTGTGGGGAGGGGAAAGGGCCGTGGGGGGGGGAGACAGATCAAGACCCCAGCCCTACCCCACTCCCTCCCTCACCACTGGGGCCTCGACTGCCACCTCCCCCCACCCAACAGCAGTGAGGGAGGGGCAAGCCCTGCATAGCTGGAGCAGGGCCAGAGACAGAGCTGCGAATGGCTTGTCTAGTGGGCACAGGGAGAGAGGGCATGCAGCCCAGGAGGTGAGGTGGTTGCGTGCCCCTGGATCTGCACGAAGGGTTCTTCATGGCTGGGCTATGCTATTGCAAAGAACAATTTTTCTAACTATTTAGTTGGTCTAATAAAAGATATCACATCTAACCAAAGAATCTTGTATGCCTAAATCCTTAGACCAACACAGCTACAACCAATAATCCTTACTGATATTTATATGCTTTTGCATAACACTGAAATCTCTGGATGCAAGGAATTGTATACAAGGGCTGAAAATGTTATTTACTATTTACTGCCCTTACAACGCAAAGGATAGTTCAGTTTTCCACACCCACAATCCTCAGCCCTTTTACTGAGACTGATGATGCAGGCTACCTACAGAGATTTTTGTGATGTGAATATCTGCCTAATGTAGTTAGTTTCCGTACTGCTTACCAATGATACAGAACACTGAACTAGAACAGTTAATCCTGTCCTAGATGCACACGACCTAGAGATGAAATTATATCCAACTGCTGTGTTGTCAAAATCTTAACGGAGGGCTGTCCAACTATAAGCTTAAAGGCTACATGCAGCCCCCAAGGAGTTAACCATAGTTTCATAGTTTCATAGTTTCAGGGTCGGAAGGGACCTAATAGATCTTCTAGCCCGACCCCCCGCCAGGGCGGGAGAACAACCCAAAAACACAAACAAAACCACTCCCCCTAAAAACAAAAACGGGACTCAAATGAGTCCAGCCAGGTAAGTATCCAGCCTCTTCTTAAAGATCCCCAGGGTAGGGGCCAGCACCACCTCCCTTGGAAGTTGGTTCCAGCTCCTAGCCGCCCTGACTGTGAAGTAGTTTTTTCGGATGTCCAATCTGTACCTCCTCTCCATCAACTTGTGCCCATTACTCCTTGTTATGCCAGCGGGGGCTAGGGGAAACAGCGTCTCCCCCAAACCCTTCTGGTTCCCCCTAGTGAGTTTATAGACGGTCACCAGGTCCCCCCTCAGCCTTCTCTTGTGGAGGCTGAATAGGTTCAAGTCCCGCAGTCTCTCACTGTAGGGTCTGCCCTGTTGTCCCCGGATCATGCGGGTGGCCCTCCTCTGGACCCTCTCCATGTTGTCCACATCCCTCCTGAAATGGGGCGCACAGAACTGGACACAATACTCCAGCTGCGGCCTGACCAGCGTCGCATAGAGGGGGAGGATCACCTCCCTGGCTCTACTCGAGATGCACCTGTGGATGCACGACAAGGTCCGGTTAGCCCTGCCAACCATGACCTCGCATTGTCGGCCCATGTTCATCTTGGAGTCAATAATGACACCAAGATCCCTTTCCGCCTCCGTGCTCTCAAGTAGGGAGCTCCCCATCGTATAAGTGTGCTGCTGGTTCCTACTACCCAAGTGCAGCACTTGGGTAGTAGGTGGCTCCCAGTCCAGGAACCACTCCCCTCATTGCTCTCCTGCTGCTGCTGCTGGGATTTCCAGGCTCCCCCTGCTTCCTCCAGCTTCTGCTACCTGTCCCTGCCCCCTGGGGCAGGATGTTACCGGGCCACCTGTGGGGCTAAGCAAGTCCATGGCCAGTGTAGCATGGAGGCGATGGTTAGACTTACCGATTTTTGCTGGCTGGTTGCAACATCACG